GGCCCCCCAAAGTCGCACCAGCTGGCCGTGCAGGCTCTCCTTGCGCCGCGCCTCCTCGGCGGCCGCGCGGCTGCGCCGGAGCAGCGCCCGCGTCTCCGCCAGGCGCCGCGACGACTCCCGCTGCCAGGGGGTCCCCAAAATCAGCCCCGACCCCGGGGGGGGTCCCCAAAATCAGCCCCGATCCCCGGGGGGTCCCCAAAATCAGCCATGATCCCGGGGGGCACGGGGGGGGGTCCCCAAAATCAGCCATGATCCCGGGGGGTCCCCAAAATCAGCCCCGACCCCGGGGGGGGTCCCCAAAATCAGCCCCGACCCCGGGGGGTCCCCAAAATCAGCCCCGACCCCGGGGGGGTCCCCAAAATCAGCCCCAATCCAGGGGGGATCCCCAAAATCAGCCCCGATCCGGGGGGGGTCCCCAAAATCAGCCCCGATCCCGGGGGGGGTCCCCAAAATCAGCCATGATCCGGGGGGGGTCCCCAAAATCAGCCATGATCCCGGGGGTCCCCAAAATCAGCCCCGACCCCGGGGGGGGTCCCCAAAATCAGCCATGATCCCGGGGAGTCCCCAAAATCAGCCATGATCCCAGGGGGGTCCCCAAAATCAGCCCCGATCCGGGGGGGGGGTCCCCAAAATCAGCCCCGATCCCAGGGGGGTCCCCAAAATCAGCCCCGATCCCGGGGGGGGTCCCCAAAATCAGCCATGATCCCGGGGAGTCCCCAAAATCAGCCATGATCCCAGGGGGGTCCCCAAAATCAGCCCCGATCCGAGGGGGTCCCCAAAATCAGCCATGATCCCGGGGGGGTTCCCCAAAATCAGCCCCGACCCCAGGGGGCACGGGGGAGGGTCCCCAAAATCAGCCCCAATCCAGGGGGGGTCCCCAAAATCAGCCCCGATCCCGGGGGGGTCCCCAAAATCAGCCCCGGCCCTGGGGGGCACGGGGGGGGGGTCCCCAAAATCAGCCCCGATCCCGGGGGGGTACCCAAAATCAGCCCCGACCCCGGGGGGTCCCCAAAATCAGCCATGATCCCGGGGGGGGGTCCCCAAAATCAGCCCCGATCCAGGGGGGGTCCCCAAAATCAGCCCCGACCCCGGGGGGGTCCCCAAAATCAGCCCCGATCCGAGGGGGGTCCCCAAAATCAGCCCCGATCCAGGGGGGGTCCCCAAAGTCAGCCAGCAGGAGGAAATGGAGACCCCAGAATCCCCCCCAGCCCCAAATTTGGCCAGGGAGGGAGACGAAAATAGATGAGGTAAAGATTTGGGGACCCCCAGAGCTGAAAGGGACCCCAAAAACCTCCTGGGATGAGACCCCAAAATCAACAGGGACCCCAAAAATCTCCTGGGATGAGACCCCAAAATTCACAGGGACCCCAAAAACCTCCTGGGATGAGACCCCAAAATTCACAGGGACCCCAAAAATCTCCTGGGATGAGACCCCAAAATCAACAGGGACCCCAAAAACCTCCTGGGATGAGACCCCAAAATCAACAGGGACCCCAAAAACCTCCTGGGATG